GTCGCTACTGAGTACAGCTGCAATTTGAATTAATATTGAAACTGTTCATCGCTCCTGTTTCCAGGAATATCTTACAAAAACAACTGAAGCTCTCGACCTTGACCTCTCTAAGTGGCTTTAAGAATCTGTTGGACTCCTGGCAGGGACCAATGCAGACATGTTCCTGTTTTTAGTTTTCTACATTCACCTTATAATCTAGCTGTTTTTGTTACTTTTTTTTTGCCATCTTATTTGTAAAAAAAAAAAAAAAAAAAAAAACTGTATGCCCTTTTATATTTGTCTATTGTTGTCATCTTTCTTTGTTGAAATCAGGTCTCTCTTGTAAATGAGTCCTCGAGGCTCATTGGGATTAGCCTGTCTAAAGAAAGGTTGAATGAAAGTGTACTAGACTGAGGAACAGCTTCTACCCTGAAGCTGTTAGACTCATGAATCTTTAACCAGAATAATCACTGTGAAAAAAATCACATCATGTTGCTGCTGATCTGTTTCATGTTTCTGCTGATGTGTTTCATGTTGCTGCTGATCTGTTTCATGTTGCTGCTGATGTGTTTCATGTTGCTGCTGATCTGTTTCATGTTGCTGTGTTCATTCGTGCTCATCTGCTCACACAGACTCATGTTCATGCTGCTGTTCAGCGTATTGTTTTTGTGCTAATAGTGCTTACGAAATTTTTAGTTAGCATTTTTTTCTTGGTTCATATCTTAGATCTTATTACTGTTTTTCTTTTACATTTTATTGTTGGATGTAACAAGGGCAGCACGGTGGCGCAACTGGTAGAGCTGCTGCCTCTCAGCGAGCAGGTCCCTGGTTCAAACCCCAGTCCAGGGGCCTTTCTGGGTGGAGTTTGCATGTTCTCTCCGTGCATGCGTGGGTTTTGTCCGGGTACTCCGGTTTCCTCCCACAGTCCAAAAACATGCATGTTAGGCTGATTGGTAACTCTAAATTGTCCCTAGGTGTGAGTGAGAGAGTGAATGGTTGTTTGTCTCGTTTGTCTCTATGTGGCCCTGTGATGGACTTGCGACCCATCCAGGGTGTACCCCGCCCCTCGCACAGTGATTGCTGGACATGGGCACCAGTGACCCCCGTGACCCAAAATGGAATAAGCGGGTAAAGATAATGGATGGATGGATGGATGTTGGATGTAACTGGGACACTGTGTACATAATTTCGTTCCACCACATGTACCGCATGTGGTGCGTAAGACAAATAAAGACCAAAACCTTAATGTAACATTTAATACCCAGAGGAAATGGACTGAGGAGGACAGACTTCATGACCAAGTCAAAAGTTTAGTGTTTATTTACAGTGAATAATTTCAGCAATGTGCACGAGGAGGAGCTGGACCCCTGGGGAGCAAGGAAAAGGTTCAGTAAGGCTAAGGTAAGGTGAGTAATGCTGCTTTTCTTTTGTACAGGAGGATTTGTGGATAATTAAAGGAGCAGGTGATCCAATGGTTCCAGTGAGAGAAGGAAGATGTCCGAGGAGAGCTCCAGGTGAGGCAAGTGGCTGGAAGGTGAGGAGACATCTCAGGAAGTCACAGGGGAACTCGAGGTCATACAGAGGAACAGGAAGGCAGCAGAAGTTAATGCTGAAAACATGTAGGAGTCAAGGTAAGTTTATTTATAATCAGATGATGCAAAATGGCCAGAAACACAACCACCGTTAGGCATGCAATGCTCCAGTGGGGACTGGAAGTCTTCTGGAGCCTTTTGTACTCCTGCAGCTCATCTAGGAGACGGTCCACACTTGTTGGCACCATCTTATGACTGCAGGAATCTGGGAGAACTGAACTCCCACACTTTATGTTTCTGATGCAAGATGTTCACACTGTGGAGAACAGGCCACCATTGGCCTCCCCCTGGCTCCTCCACTGCTGCAGGTTGTGGATAACGTGGCTCCCTCCACTCACCAGGACCTGTCACTCTGTGCTGCCTCGGACAAGAAAAAAACTACCCACTTGAACATCTTGTACTAAAAACATTAAAGTTTATTTACATCCTCTGCTCAGTTCCAGAAAAACACTCATCTTCAAAACTACAAACGTTCACTGTTCAAATCCCTCAGCCACAGGTGACGTGCCAGTTTGTCTTTATATTTAATGTGTGGGGCAAATGTAGAATATATTGAACATTTTTAACTATTTCATCACTTCTTCTGCTAAAAGGCTAAAGTTTGAAATACAGCAGCTGAATGAAGCCTGGCTGTCCTCAAAGAAATCTGTTGCCCACAACCTTTCACTCCAGAGGATTAAAGTAAATTCATCTCATGTTGAGAAAAAAATGAATGTTATAACGACCAAAGTCCATGCTCAGTAATCCAAGTATAACATCCAACAATGTTCAGTCAGATCATCTGGACAGTTTCTTTTTGTGTGCTGAGACGTTTCGCCCTCCATCCGAAGGGACAGAAGATTATAAAGATTTTAGTCGTCTTGAAAACACCATCATCTTATGTCTGTGCTCAGAGCATTGTGCATGACTCTACCACTATCACACCCAAATGTAGTCTAATATCTTTAAAAAACAGGCTGGGTTACAGTCAGCTGATCCTATAGGACAGGGGTCCTCAAACATTTTGGATTCAGGGACCCCCTCATAACCCTCATGTTTATTAAAATGTTTCCTTCAATTTGTCTCTTTAATGCAATGGAAATATTTGTGTAACATAAACACCTCTTCTTTAATAGTGTTAATACAGTATTTTATACTTTTAAACATGGAGTATTTTTCATTCAAGATACACTTAATTAACAACATTCTTCATTTCAGGGAAGGGCAGCCGACTCGGGACCTGAAGGTCCTGGGTTCGATCCCCGGTCGTTGCACATGTCGTGGTGTCTCTGAGCAGGACACCTAATCCCGGACTGCTTCCCGGGTGCTTACATATCTGCCCGCTGCTCCACCTGGGTGTATCCCAGGTGCGATGGGTTAAATGCAGAGAACCAATTTCGTCTTTGTATGGGAACATACAATGATGACAACACATAGCATTTAAAAATTAGTTTTGAGAAAATTAACATTAAAAAACACTTTAAAACTATCTATATTCACATAATGAACATAAATGTAATAATAGATAAATGTATGTAAAACATAAATGTACCTTCTAATTATTACAGAAAACTATTTTACATAAAACTGAACAGAATTATAACAGCAGTAGCCAAACCAAGTAACAGGGCTTAATTTGTAACCTGATCAATGCTGGAACACTAACATTGGGTGGGCTGTGGATGGTGGGGGGGGTCTGGGTTTTCCTCCCCCAGAAAATGTTGAATAATGTAGATGTTTCCTGCATTTTGATGTATTTTAACTGGTTGTTAAACATCTACATGTTTGTAAAAAATATATATATATATTTTTTTTTTTTTTGCGGACCCCCAAGCACTGGGTCGTGGACCCCCGGGGGACTGCTATAGGAAACACTAAAATGACTTCAACTCAGCCAGTTTTATAGAAGCTGAGCTGAAACTTGGTGTGGTAGTAGCTGAGAGTCATCATTATTCAAGAGTCTTCATAAAATCATTTTTTGATCAAAACGATCTTTAGATGGTCTTGGTTTGAATCTTGCAGCAGATGATCCACGTCTTCAACGTTTACGCTCTCAGCTCAACTTTTCTCTGATTTATTTTGAGGAGTGGTGGCACAGAGGTTAGAGAAGATGGGCTTGTGATCGGAAAGTCGCATGCTCAACTCCCGGTACCGTCAACATCAAAATGTGGGTGGAAAAGGTGAAGCATCCGCACCTGCCTCCACCCTCATTTGCCCCACTCTGGGCCACTGAGCGAGGCCCTTAACCCCCATCTCTCCCTAAACAGGTCTCTCTTGAAAATGAGTTCTCGTGACTCAATGAGAATACCTGGAAAAATAAAGGGTAAATGAAAAAATAATTTATGATCCAAACAGCTTTTTATCTGAACGTAACATGAGGGGGCTGAATGTCTACGTTAATGAATTTAAGGAGCAACTTGTGCAGTTTTTTTCATGTATTTTTTTCTTCAAGCCACAAAGTGTTGGAAAACACATTTTTCCATAATTAAGTTTTTATTTAAACCTGGAATACGCTAGACAAATCCTGTATGTTGAATGTTTTTAAGCCCCTGGTGTCTTCTCACATGATTGGAATGCAAATCTCATTTTTCCCCATCACTTTAAGATGTCGTGGAATCCTTTTCAGCCCCGTCTATTAACTGCTTAAGCCAGCTGGAGAGGAAATTTAAGAGACCTGCTTTCCTGAAGAGCCTGAACACAAATCTGCATCAGTTTAGCACATCTGGATGGGCTCGACTGCTCCGCCACTATCTGCTCCTATTGATGTTGCAGCCCCCATCACTTCATTTACCCAGAGCAGCATCCCAGACGAGACTCGCTCATTTCCATTTATCGAAATCCTATTTCTATTCCATCTGCCAGCTAGTCACCTGTGAAACTAGTTTTTAACCACGGTTTCAAAGTGCGATGCTTCAGCCTTCAACCCAATTCCCTTTATTAGTGTTTACTCCAAAGCATAAAACCCAGCGGAGGGGCGCGCACTGCCAGCGCGAGGTCGTTTGGTTGTATAACACCGGGGCGGGGTGGCACGCCACGCTGCACACGGGAACAACGAAGAGTGGTGGAGAGGAATTAAAGAATAAATTTCTCCTTCCAATTAAAAGAAGCATTTGTGCAACCTGAGCAGAGGAAGGAAACATCATCAACGGAGGGAGGAAAACACGACGTTACAACTCGGGAGGCACAATCACTGCGGCTGCCGGTGTGCAATTAAACATTGTTTTTAGACAAACCCTGCTAACACGAGCAGAACATATAGGAGACGAAACAGGCTCTGGATGTCCCGTCAAACCCCAACAGCTGGGGGAGCAGATGACAGGGATGTAAACACAACTTCATTAAAAGGAAGATGAGCCGCTGTCACTACAGATTTATATGAAGCGTTAAACTGTCAGAAATTCTACGTGTGTTTTGTGACCTGAAGGTGGTGCAAAAATAACAAAACACTGGTGACAAAAGAACTGCTTTATTGTGGAAAAGGGTGTAGTTTGAAATGAATGTAGGGCAAAGCGCCACACTACTCCCACTTTATATTACAACATGAGGCAACAACTAACAGGCGATGTGCAGAGGAGTCCGTTTTATTAACGACATTTCAGGAGATCTTAAACGTCAGACGCTTGTCCAGCTACACCTGACCCTTGTACTGCTGGTGCAGCATGAGCACGTCGTCCTGGGAGACCCTGGTCCAGCCCTCGCTGTGGACGTGGTACAAGTTGACCTGCCCGCCGCTGTAGGCGTCACGATACGTCGCCTGGTAGATGGCGCGACGGCCGAGCTCGCAGGCCTCCTCCACGGTCAGCTCGTGCCGCACGCCGCTGTCCATCACTCCGTACGCGTACATGGAGCCCGAGCCCACGGCGAACATGTCACCGCACACCCGGTGCCCCTCAGAGTCCACGTAGTACAGCCCTGAAAAGAGAGGACAAACGGCGGGTCAGGAGGGCGTAAGGGGACTAGTTCCTCTCCAGATTCAGGTGTTCAACTCCAGCAGGGACACCACAAACAAAACACGAATGTGCACACGCTCACGCTCGCAGCCCATCCTCCAGAGAGGACGTAAGAACAGCTGCGAGCCCTCCAAGTGAAGCCAGGCTGGCAGAAATGAACAGCTGCAGCCTCTTCAAGTAAAACCAAGGTGGCCATGGAACCTGCTGACGAGGCGCGGCTCGCCACGCCGTCCGCCCAGAGGCCCCGTTCCGACTCTTATTGATCCCTGTAACAGGCTAAAAATTAACTATCGACCTGAGCCGACCAGGTGCCTGCATCTCGCACCTGACCGGGGAGGAAGAAAATCGCAACAGCTTCCTCACGCCCTGTGGAATAAAAAGTCGTGTTCGAACACGTGAGGCACATGTGACACTCCGTCTGAGCCAGACTGACACAGCGAGTCATCCTATGAGCAACGCAGCCCTGCCACGCTCGTGATGGACATGTGAGGGACCGTTTGCTCCACGACAACACACGACGCACAACATTTTGTTTAGTGCCATGACACGTTCGACAGGCCCGACTCAGGGTGATGCAGAAAGGGGTGAGCAGTGCCAGCCGGCGAGCTCGCCCACAGCCAGACTGGAGACGGTAAAAAGGACAGAGCGTGAAACGGCGTGTTTTTCTAACGCTTTCAACAAGCTAAACCTGTGAAAATGAAAAGCAGGAACACATGCATAAAAAAACTGCTAAATAGTCATCACTATTGCTAACACTATAAGAAATAAATAAATAAAATCATCCAAATGCCTTTCGATTGCACATCCTCGCTTACAGAGTCTCAGCTTAACTAGTGACAGTCTATTAGGGCTGGAGAGCCACTTACTTTTCAGGGAACAAAAAAAGCTTACCATTGGTTTCAGCTGGCAAATTGCAGCTTCCTAAGCCTGTCGTTAAGATTGCCATGATAATCATCCAGCGCCCGCGTATGCACAGGGGTAATTTGCCATTCCAAGACCTGCCTGTTCCACTTTGAAACTGTGAGGGACTCGTTAAAAACATAATAGGCAGGGAAACAGAGTTAGAAAGACAGCCTCTTTTGTGGAGTGGAGCAGCTGACGGAGGTGGCTGAGGACTCTTTAAGAGGTCCAAGTATAGAAGCAGTATACAAGCACACCTGGAGTCTTTGTGGAGCCTCCTGTGATGCTGCTCAGTGGTCTCAGAACCTCAAATACCAACACAGAAGGAAGCGAAACCATGAACCTAAAAAACATCAAGTGGAGCACACGAGGCCTACATGGAGTGCACGTCGTCTGGATGCTGAAGCGCTGCTGCTTCTACTTCACCCATCAGCTGACAGGTGTTTAAGTCTGCTTTGTTGTGCAGCTGTCTGGAACAACAGCAATTAAAAATAGGTGAGGAGTGCAGCGAGATGCTGCTGATGATGGCGGCTGGCATCAAATGGGTCAGCGAGTGTCATTTGTTCTCCACACTCGGATTCACAACTGCCTTCAAAGTGAGGAGACGGCCGCAGTCACACAAGGGAAGGGGGGGAAGCTATTACATCACCCTCCTGGGAGTGGCTGTGAAAACCAACTGCCTCATGGGTCTTCTGACAACCTTCAAACCATACACCACTCTACGCTTCTTACAAGCAGGCTGCATGTGGTTCAATAACGTACGACCCCAACACACAGCCCAGCACCAGTCTGTTCTCACCCAGCCATCAAACATCAACTACACACTCATTACAAGAGTCACAACATCTAATGTTATTACACACAGGCACATCTGTCAAGCTCCTTAACATCACTTTTATTCCATTTATTTTGCATGCAGCTTAATACACTTCATCTGGAAAATAAGTACTCTTGACATGGTTGTAACTGGCTAATGAGCTTTCTGCTTAAAGTGATTGATTTAATTTGCATGACATTTACCTCTCCATTCAATCACATGCACAGTGAGAGCTGTGCACGAGCCAACATATTTATACGTTACATGACCTATTGAACACACGGCAGGGTCATTATTTCCTCAATTGATTGCCTGGGATTTAGCGCGTCCCGAGCTGGGCCCACTGGCGCGCCGTCACCGTCGACACGACTTCTCTGCTTTCCAGATAAAGCTGGCATTGATTGCAGCTCAGTGTCGGGGCATTATACACGAGACCCAATTGTCCAGGGCTCAGACCCATCACCCATCATCCTGCTACATTTTCACCAGTCTACAGTCCCGGCCTTATTGATTTCCCATTACTGTGTCACTGTGGCAGCCTCTTTAAGCACACCTTCTGTGATGTACGACCTGTGTGTGTCATCTGAAATCCAAGGCTTAGGACAAACAAGGGGAGGGAAAAGAAGGCCTGCAGCACCACCTGGTGGTAAACTGAAGAAACTACACAAATTTTTACCCCATTAAAAAAATATTTGGGCGTATGCACAGTATATACTGATAATACCATTTCTTCAGCAGTCTTTCTTTATAATGTGACATTTAAATACCACATTTATAGCCCCTGAAAAGAAAATGATTTTAATTACAGACTGGGCTGCAGATTGCTCTTGTGAATAACTGATAATGAAAGAGTAGTTTTAAACTAAAATACTTCTTGTTAACCTGGTTGACATGCTTTTATTAATTTATTGTCCAACCCCTAGATATTTAGATTTAAACTCACACACAGAGAAACAAACATCCTGGAGCCCTGTCAGGAGTCATATTTACCAGGGCCTCTCTTGTCCCAGCCACACACCATGGTCCCCATGCTGAGGCCCATGCCCTTATACTGGTACACCATGTTTGCCAGCAGCTTGGACGCGGCGGCCACCGAGATGCGCTCTTTGTTGCGGAGCTCGTAGACGCGGCACTGGCGGGCCAACAGGCGCTCCCAGAAGCTGCAGTCAGCGGCTCCTCCGGCCATGGTGCCCAGCAGGTACGGGTTGATCTCGATCACCTTCTTGACCGTCTGCGAGGCGATGTAGGAGCCCGCCGTGGCCCGAGAGTCCACCGCAACAATGACTCCATGTTGGAACTAAAAAAGGAAGGAACTCGTTAGTGAAGCACATTGAGGAGGAACAGTCAGGAAGAGGTTTGTCAACTTTCTCCTAAAACATTACAAACCCAAATAGGAAAATAATACACTTTATCTCCTGTAGCTTTGAACAGTGACACAAAGTCTAAGCACAAAACTAAACCTTTGTCACCTAAAACTGATCATTTCAGAAGAGATCTCGTTGTAGCAATCCTGAAAAAAAAAAAGTTATTTCCTTTGAGCTGACAGGGTGACATACTTCACAGCCCTATGGAAGAAGTCTGCTTGATGACCTGCTAAGTGTTCAGGGAAAGGTTGTTTACAGGACACCATCTTGTCAGGTGCTGGATCTCCTCTTTGTAGCGGGTCTCATTGTTTGATATGAGACCCTCTACGGTGGTGTCATCAGCAAACTTCCCAACTGCGTTTGTGGGGTGGATGGCGGTGCAGTCATGTGCGAACAGAGTAAAGAGAACTGGGCTAAGCACACAGCTCTGTGGTGTGCCTAGTGATAATGTGATGACGGTGATGACTGCACCCTCAGTTGATCGGTCCTCACTGTAGGAGAAGTGACGGTTGTCAAGACCAGCAAGGATGAAGATCCTCTCAAAGAAATTCATGACTGAAGTCAGAACAACAGGGTGATCATCAGTAAGGCAGGTGACCACTGATTTCTTTAGCAGGTACAATGATGGAGGACTTCAGGCACACAGGAACTGACGTAAGCTGCAGGGACAGGCTGAAAATGTCCAGGAACACTCCTGCCAGCTGGTCAGTGCATACCTTCAAAGTCCAGCCTGACACCTCTGGTCCTGTGTCTTTATTGGTGATCTTTTTGAGGGTGGAGCTCACCTGTTGTAGCGGCAGGGTGATAGGCGGTTGTTGCTCCTCCAGCCGAGGTGAACGTATTGTCTCTTTGTGGCCGAATGCTTCAAAGCATGAAAAGAAGCTTTTTAAGGTGTCGGGGAGAGTGGGATCATGGCTGACCTGCTGATCATTACTCTTGTAGTCCGTTATAGCTTTGATGCCTCTTCACATGTTTTGTGGGTTGTCGTCAGCAAATTGTTCCTCAGTGCTCTTCCTGTACCTGTGTTTAGCCAGCCCGATGTCCTTCTTTAGTTTATTCCAGGCCCTTCTGTAAGCCAGTCTGTCACTGAAAACATCCCGTGATTTAAATAGAGACTGGACCGTATTGTCCAGCCCCAGTTTCTGGTTCATTAATGAAAGAACACGTCATCACACTTTTATTGATACTTTTTTAGTAATTAAGTTCATCTTCTGGTTGTGGTTAAGTAGCTATTTATTTTTAGCAGCTTAGATATGAAATACACAACTGGAAAACTAATAAGCGTATACAAAAAATTAATTGGCTTTTCCCTCCTAATCCTACATTAGTAGTCTGAGTCATAAAAATGTAATAAAACACAGAAGTCAACAGAAGTTTGTAGTGAGAGAAAGACGTTTAGTAAAAAAATATATATATTTTTTATCTTTAACCTTCATTAGGAGTTCTACATAAAAATATGGTTTTAAATCTGCAGAGAAAAAAGCTTCATAGTTGTATCTGTTGTGTTGTTAATCAAAGTGTAACAGAACTCCATCATGTGATTTAATCTGTTAGGTCAGTAGCACCAGTTCTTGATAAGATCGGATGTTTGGTACCAGATCTTGAAGGAACATGTTCCCTCCTGAACCAAGTTTATCATCTTACAAACCTTTTCTGACATTCAGCAGCACTAAATAAGTTGCAGGTCTCTAACTTTAGAAAGCTGCTTCCATTTTGGTTTCATTGCATTTAATGATTTTAAATTTTCAACACAACTCAAGAACTATTTTAGAGTTTTGTTTCGATTTTTAATTAGTCTTTGTTATTTTTTAATTAACAGTTTAAAAAAACTCAAGCATCCATTCCAAAACAATAAGTTAATATTTAAGGAGCCAAACAAAAGAGTCAAACTTTTTACATAACAACAACAGAAACTAAAAATCTTTATAAATTTAAAAAATACATTAAATTAAAAATACAAATTGTGGTGAGAAGTGGAAGCTGAATATCATTGTCACTGGTCTTTAACATGGGCACACCGCAGAGCTGTGTGCTTAGCCCAGTTCTCTTTGCTCTGTTCACATGACTGTGCAGCCATCCACCCCACAAATATTTAAAAACTAAATTAGCAATTTTCTTTTTTATCCTACAAGTGAGCAATATCTGAGTAGTACTGCTGTGGGGTACTCAGGTTATTCTTGTTAGTTTAAATAAATCTGAATATTTGAAACTTTTTAACACCTACATATTTTCAGAGTTTGTCAAGAAAAAGCTTCTCTATAAAAATTCTATTTGAGAAAAATATTCATTTTTTTAATGTGCCATACACTACTATACATAGTATCTGTATATAATATTATATTTTGCATATGTAATGCATCCTTGTCCCTCTTTTAAAAACAGGATTTATACGGACTGAGACTATTTTATGATCTGTTACTGACATGAAACACCATTTAGTTCAATTTGTCTTTCCTCAGGATCTGGTTAGCAGAAACAAAAATAAAACCGTATATAAAACTTTGGGGTTCAAAACAACATTTAAGCAGAAATACTAGAAAAAATATTACAAAGTGTAGTAATTTGTTAAAGGACTTGTCCTTTAAATGAATATCCTAATCTAACTTCTATGGTAGCATCAATTAAAATATCTGACATTGTTCAAATTTAATAGCTCAAACAAATCTAATGTGTGTCTGAAGTTTTAGTTAAAACTTTGCTTAAATATTTTATAGGAAGTTTGAATGAAACAAGGGAACAATTCAATTTGTAATTACTTTTTTTTTTTTTTGGCTCCAAGTCTTTGATTATTTCGATAACTCATTTAACTGTTATTACTTACTTATATAGTTCTTAACTGTTTTAATAAGAGTTTATTTAAATATATATATATATATATATATATATGTTGTTGACATAATGAATTTAGAAGCTTTTCTTAAGTCTCAACATTAAAAGAAAACAAAATGTAACAATTGTATGTGAGGGAAAAACACGTGAAAATTGAGATTTCTGTAAAGCATAACCATATGCGTTGATTGTTGACTGATAAACTATTTTTATATTCCTTTATTCTCCATAGGTGAGTTGGTGCACAGCTGCAGATTTAAACTTGGTCTTCGACTCCACGCACTTCTCGGGATTTAATTAAAGCACAAGAGGGAAAATATGTTTGTTAAAATGGCTTAAATAGAAATTACCGACCCTTCCTTAGAATCTGTGTCAAATATTCATCATTACAGAATCTGAATATCTACCATGAGAAAGCAGTTTGTAGCCGCCTAGCATCTAAGCTAACAACACTTCTACACCATTTAGAAAGACAAAATGCTTTATTCATGTATTTTTTTAACCAAACTGTTTCAATTAGACTTTTGTAAAAGCCAGGTAGCTACAAATGAAAAGAAAATAACACGTAAACTTACTTTAAAAGCTAAGGTTGTTGTCCCATGCAGGAACTCTATTTTCCTCTCAACGCCGTCCTCGTCGCCGGCGAGCGGCACATTTTTTACGGAAAAGCGAAGACTTTCCCCCGGAGCAGCCTCAAAATCTACACCGTTCTGTCCGGGGCCACAACCCGCAGCGAAGGGCTGACGATAATCGAACGAAAAATCCTCACAATCGCTACTTAACACATTAGCAAGAGCCATCTTTGAAAGAATGCGACAATGAGCGAGCAACTTCCGGTGCGTAAGAAGAAGAGTCCGTCATGGCCACACAGCGACACAGCGCCCCTGCTGGACTGGAGGACTAGTGGTCCAACATGATAATGACAAATTTTATTTTATGTTGGTTAATGTCATTTTTAATTTTATTTGAAATATAACTTGCTTATTTAGCGTGCAAAGCATAGTTGGAAAACTTAATAAATCACTGAAAACTTCAGACTTCACAACATTTTTTTTTGTTTCATACACACACTGAGAGAAATCCCACACAAACACGCATGATTTGCTGTTTTTCATTTCATATCTTTTGTTGTTCCACTTTTTCGTTCCTCTTGATTTTGAACTTTTTTATCCATGTCTCTGTAATATTCCTCTTTCAGGTCCTCCCTCTGTCTTTGGCTCCATCCCTGAGCTGTAATATGGAAAATGTCTACGTTGTTTCCTGAGTAGGCATCCCTGTGAGTGGCTCTGAACACAGCTTCTCTTGCCAAAGAAATGGCTTCTTTCTTACTCAAGCTCCAACTCAGACTCCCATCCAGAACACTGTAGGCATAAGGAGACCCAGAACCCACAGAGAAGACCTGTCCCTGGAGTCGGGCCCCATCACTGCACACGTAGATGAGTTGGGGACCATAGTTAGGATACAGGGAGCGTGTTGCTGAACTAACCCCTGAAGGGCTACTTGTCATAGATGTATCCTCCCAGTTTTGGGAACAGTCAGTGTCACCCTGCTCCTTATCCCAGCCACACAGGGTGAGAGCCACGCACACGTCTGTGCCTTTAAAGGGATGAAGCATGAAAGACAGAAGCTTGGCGGTGCCCCGTATTGAGAGGCGACGCCTGTGCCGCAGCTGGTAGAGTCTGATCTCTCTGATCAGAATACGCTCCCACAGCTGGCAGTCTGCACCACTGCCTGAGGAGGTGACCACTAAGTGGGAGTGAATTGGGGTGATCTTATGGACAGCCGGACAGGCGACGAGTCCTCCTGCACTAGCGCGAGTATCTGCTGCTGCAATTACCCCACCTTGAAAGATGAAACCCAGGGTTGTTGTTCCATGAGTCAGAGGAAAGGGCCTGTGCACCGGCACTGGAAGGTTTTTCAGGCTGAGAGGAGCTGCTGCGTTTCTGCTGATGTAAAAGTTGTCCCGAGGAACATGTGACATAGAGAAGTGATGGGGAATCTCTTCAGACATCTTCTGTCGTTTCTGTTTTAGGTTGTAGCAGCCAATCATATGAACAGATGTAGCTGGATCCTCCAAATATGAAAAAGGCTTTTCTATGAAGCCACAAACATCTTTCAAAGCCATACTGGTACAACAAAGATCAATACAAAATCAGTAGATTGTTAAAAATCTAGTAAAAAGTAGCAGGACCCATCCAAACAGAGGCAATCAAACAAAGCCATAAACTTCGCTGCCTCTTGGGCAGGTTGTGAAGTGCTCGTATCCTTTTATATCTCTGTGTCAGCTTGCACACACACAGTCATGCACGAACAAAGCCTCTAGGTTTCTGTGATATTTGATCCTGCACGCTGTGAATTAGATCTGCTGCGAAGCCTCTTTCTGCAAACATGACATTCTTTGCCAGAGTCATCTTGTTAAGTGATGCACACTTTTCAGTTTCACGTCTCTTTCGTTTTGCTGCTTGCTGTTGAAGTTTCTGACATTTCATTTATACTAAAATGAACTTATTGACACGTTTTGGAATTTGAATGTGAATTTCATTCAATCGATGGAGGAAAAATAACAGGAACGATCAATGTGACGCTCGAAAAACGAGCCTTGCGCAAATATCGCGGTAATATGCGAGACGTGCCACCGACGTTCATGCGACGCCATTATGGCTCTAAGCGCCCCGCGCGCAACGTTTGTAGAAACCCGGGTGGATCCAAGATGGCGCCAGTTTCCTCGATAGCGGGAACAGGACGGTCCAGTCATTCAGCAGTCATGGCGTCCACCAACTCCGGGGGCAGGGTGTCCTGCGGGAGAGACTTGAATTGTGTCCCGGAGATAGCTGACACGTTGGCCGCCGTCGCCAAACTTGGGTGAGGAAAGTCTCAGATCCCGTTTGTGTCTGTTCCTGCCCGGCAGGAGCGAGGTTTCAGGAGTTTCACACTTGTTTGTTTGTATGTCAGCGAGATGCTTGCTAAGCTAGCCGGCGTGTTGTCTGCACGTGCCGCATCACAATGATGCTCGTGCGGGTCTGAAGTGTGTTTTTACACCTGTGCAGGTAGTTTTTCTCAACATCTCACCAGGTCTTTGGAATATAATTATATAAAACAGGGTTGTGTTTGGCTCCGAATGTATGATTTAAATGTTGAATGTTTTCTTTTCTCTGTGCGGTGTGCAGGTTCGATTTCCTGTGCATGCCCCTGTTCCACCCGAGATTCAGGAGGGAGTTCGAGGTGGAGCCGGCGAAGTCCAGACCCGGAGCCCAGACCCGTTCAGACCTGCTGCTGTGTGGACGAGGTCAGCACGTTTCTATTCAGTTCACTTCAACTTTATGTGTATTCAAAGTGCTGAACAATTCACATCACTAATTCTGTATATATGTGGCAAAACAACAACATTGTTTCATCACATCAAATGCCGAAAGGAAGAAGCGGGTAAGGATGGATGGATGGATGGATGGATGGATGGATGGATGTCTAATAATAAAAAAAGAGTATATTAAAGTTGGCCTGCAGGCAGTGACCCATTGTAGAATGAATTAAAATGCAACTTCTTCATTATTTCTTGGTCACATTAGACAAAGTTGGTACCATGTGAAAGCTGAATGACCGGATTTATCTACAAAAATAATGTGTATGATATTCCTAAATATTTTGATTTCTCTTAAAATAACGCATCATATGGCAGCTGCAGGTCCTAATGTATTTGCAATGCCTTGCAAATCGATCATTTATCATTAAATGATCAATAATAGATTAGAGATCAAAGAAGAACATCCTAGTTGCTTTTAGGAGCATCTCGATCATCTTCAGCGAATGTGTCGGATCATTTTTGATCGTAGCTTGTAGCGGACCAAACGGAAATATTTTGGATGTGATCACAGTGGTGGATGTGTGTACCACCTCATCAACTTACCTGAAGATTTTAACGCACTACACAACAAAACATTTGATGCGGCCACTTTAATGGAGACCATTTCTGGTGCTGGATTCAGAAACAAGACTCCTGCTGAAGAGCCATTAAATGCTTATTGTTGCATACCTTTAAATAGGCAATCAATTTAAACACGTTTTAAATAGGATTAATATATATTAATAGTTCATACGAATGTAGTGAACTTAACCTGATGTCACGACTAAGCCTAAGGTCAAAACTCTTGACCTTAAGAACCTTGTGGGACAGGAACTGTCATTTCATTGATTTGAATCCAGAAATACAGGTTCACCCATCCTGAGACTTTCTTTCTTGAAAATTCAAGTGAAAGAACACTCTGTTCTATTATCATTACTATTTTACAAATGTTGATAATCAAAGTGTCTTAGTTCAAACCATTTTAGATGTTGCAGTGAACTAATCAATTTTATTAACTGTGTAATGATTTTTAATCCTCATGCAAAGTTAGAATTCATGTCAAAGCTGTTACAGAGTAATTATGCATTTTCTGATTTCTGCCTTTGAATGAGCAAGTGTGCGTTCCAGGGTCAGGAGTCGAAGCAGACATGCGTTGGAACAACTGTCTTGTTTATATCCTCTCAGACGTCAACAGGGGGGTTTTGGCACCTGTTTCTAAAACTCGCCAAAACAAAACTCTCTCTGTCTGTGAGAACATTTCTGATCTGTTCCATAACAATTCTTGCTGTCTTCTAACCTCTTACGTCACAAAACACACCCCGTCTGGTCGGTTCTGACCAATGGGAATACTCCCGAATGAACCGGGAAAAGGGCTCTTTAAAATGTCGGTACTTCCTGGTCTACACAGTTCTGTGGGTTCTGTTGGATACACGGTTCTGTCGAGTGGGAGAAGTTCGGCGGCGCGGACAGTTCTGATATGTCCTAGCGCTGGGCAGTAGCTGTGGGAGCCGGGAAGATCCTGACATGACAACAGAGCTCTTCCGAGTTTCATGGGATTATAACATTTTCCACTGAGGTGAGATGTGGCGGACAGAATCTCGCCGCTACTCCGGACGAGTAACAGCATCCTACTGAGACGCTGAAAGGGTGCGTTAAACGGAATCTCGCCTGAGACATCTCCAGGTAAAAGAGTCGATTTCATCACCTAAGTGTACTGTAAGGAAGAAGCTGAAGAAAGCCCGGAGAGTGCCGTTCTGTTCAACACTCTACCTCAACCACCATCTTTCTCCCCTTTAAACTTCATCTTTTCATCTTTAAACTCTTCTATCAAGTAGATATTCTTCCAGATATTTTAGAAATGTCTGTGTAAAGTGCTCATCCACCGCCGTGTGGGTAAAAGATCATAATTGTACAGTTTCATAAATGTCTGTGGTGAAGCAACGGAAAAATCATGGCCGTATGATTTTTCTTGATCGATTGCTTATGTTGTTATTTTCATAATTTGCCAAATTAATGTAAATGTTTGATGTTAAACTTTGATTCTGTAAATAAATGACCGCATTCATTTTGATGGGTCAAAGATAAATGACGTCTCACGTTTGCATTTCCTTAAATTCAATGCACGTTTTATTCAGTCCAGAAAAATGAGGAATCCGTGTTAATTGATGAATATATCTGAGCATCTGTTCATCTACACGAAGTACAAAAACAAAAAAGCATAATGGAACAAATCCTGAATAAAATGGATACACATGGGTAAGCCTGTCATGATAAACAATAAATCAATTAATCGCATGATAAATGAAAATGATCAACCTCGTTTTCATTTATCAGCTTTATCATTTCTTTGTGTCTCTCTTTCTACTGAAGACACTGGATGATAAAAAGCTCAACTCCAGTGTTCTTCGCTGACCTCTCCCTTTCTCTTTTCTCTTTAAAATCTGTTTTAATGATCCAAATTGTGTTTTTTGGATCGTTAAAAGCAGCTAAGCTACGAGCTAAGCTAACAGGCCGACCTCGGGGGAAAACACCTCCGTCTTGTCGAAGCTCCAAAATTCACGGTTGAAACTCGTGCCTTTGTGTAAAAAGTTGTTTTTCTCTGCAAAAAGAAGCTGAGAACTTGTTTACTGATTTTTTTTTTATTAAAAGCTTTGTGTGAAAAATGCTATGCTAAAGAACTCAAACCACACCGAGCATCCACCATTTTGAGAACCAAAGAGAGACAGCCCATGTCACGTCAAGAGGCCTCCCTCCCATTTTCTTAAAGAGACACGCTGCTCGCTCCCTCACCATCCATCTGTCGGTTAAAACAGTCTTATACTGCCATCTAGTGGTCAAAAAAGTACTACATGCAAAACAAATCAACCAACATTTCTTCTTAAATTTGACAATAATTACTAGTTGTTGTCAAATTTCAAACAATATTATCGTTTTTCGCAAACTTTTCTGAGACAGTTAATCGCCCAGCAACATTTGTTATCGTGACAGGCGTACCCAGAGGCAGTCGTGTTAAAAGGATCGTAAAATCTCATAAAGTACTAACTAGGCTGTATCAAAGACGTGAGCTGAGGTCGTGAGGAAGCCGATTCCTGGGCCTGAAAACTGAAAAGCTCTGCCCTCCAGTCTGGCTTTAGGAACTTAACGTAGACCAGCATCTTGAGAGTGGAGCGTTCTTGTGAATTCTGGATCAGGCAAGGTGTGATGATGGTAAAATTAAAGAAACGTGCTCCAGTTTTGCTGCTCCTGTCAGAACTCCCCCTGCTGCGTTCTGGATCACCTGGAAGACTTTTAAGGAACTTTTTGGGACAAACGGCTGAAACGGGTCAAATGTATTCACAGGTTTTCAGCATCACTTTGAGACAAAATACTCCTGATTTTAGAGATGTGAACAAAAGCAGTCCTAAAGACCAGGAAACAATATTCTGATGCATGCTTGATAATCCAGGTAAATCCAACAAAGTTAAGTCTGGACGGTTTCTTTTTGTTCAAACGTTTCATCTTTCATCCAAAAGACTTCATCAGTCCACGGCGCTGCAACAAACATAAGAAACCGTCCGGAGGACCTGACTTCGCTTTGTTGGATTGTTGACCTGGATTATTGAGCATGGCTCAGGATGATGAACCGCTTTGGCCATGGCTGCCTCAGACGAGTCGACGGGGGAGAGGGCAGACTCCAGGAACCATCTTAGCACCATCAAACTGGTTGGCCCACTATGTGAAGGTGCTATTTATAAGACTGAGTTTGTTGTGGCTCCTCAGACTGATGGATGAAAAACAAAACATTTCTACTAAAGAAACCATCCGGAGGACCTGACTTCACTTTGTTGGACAGATAAAATATACTTTATGTAGCCCACATAAAAAAATCAAAGGTAAATCAAATAAAACAAGTTATTTTTAATAATATAATATAATAATTTATCACTTACTGCAGCAGAACTAGAAGGAGCCACAGGATTACATTTGATATTTTTACTTTCACAACGTATCACTACACCCAGAAGTTGAACCATTCAAACTTTCAAACATATTTTAGTATTTACATTTTGTTGCCGGGTGTATTAAAATAATGACATTGTTTTATTCTTGGCTAATTTTTCTTAAAGCACACAACCTCAGATGCTGAATGACTCTTTACTGGCTGGTTGTTCTTCATTTAGACTGGAATACCCTCATCGTTGGGAAGCTGTCTCCATGGATCCACACAGATTCAGAAATGGAGATGGAACGCAGAAACTCCGAGGCTGTGAGTGTCTTTAGACTGATATATTTTAAATTAATGTTCACTTTATTTTCTGCTGTTCATAATGAAGCTGGTGAAATCACTGCGCTCAATTGACGTTGGTAAATGTAAGGACCCGGCGTACTCCATCTGAAGATGAACAGTCGACGTGTGGTCACGTGGACGTTTGTTCTCAAACACACCTTTCATTTTTTCATCCAAAATGCTGCTGCCAGAGTCTTAATGGGAGTTAGTGGGAGAAATCTCTCCAGTTTTGGCTTCTCTTCATTGGCTCCCTGTCAAATTCAGAATAAAATTCAAAGTCTTACTTCTAATGTACAAAGCCCTCAACAACCTAGCTCCATCGATCCAGCCATTTTTGTCATGCAGCTACGTCAAAGAGAGCCGACTGCACCACTTTGGATGGAGTATGCAGGGTCCTTCATGCTTGTGTCACTGTTTGCTCTGTCTGTCCAGGCTCTCGCACAAGAGCTCAACTTTTCAGCGTACCTGGGTCTTCCTGTCTTCATGATCCCCCTGAAGGGGCCCCATAATGCCAATTTAGCCCGAATGCTGCTCAACCACATCCACACCGGGCACCATTCCTCTAATGTAAGACGCACAGGTTCAGTCAGCGCTCACACGCCAGGGGTTCTTCCTTTGACCGCTCTCTGTTGGTTTTGTTTCCATCAGTTCTGGATTCGTGTCCCTCTCATGACGACTGAAGACGTTCGGGACGATCTGATTGAGAACGAACCCACGGCTTGTGTTGACGAGTCGAGCGTAGAGGAGAAAACGTGGAGTTGGTTAGTTTCACATCGGTCCACTTCCTGCACACCCCGGTGCTGTTTGCATGATGTTTAATGTTTGTTTGTTCAGGTGGCATTCATTTCGAACCCTTTGTGATTACAACAAGCGGATCTGTCTCGGTGAGGCAACAAATGTTATCAACGTTATTGCACTAAGAAGTAATGTTGGTCCTTCTTTTCACTGAGAATGTGCTTTGTTGTTTTCCTGAAGCGATTGAAATAGGAGAAGACATGCCATCAGATGCAGTTATTGATAAATGGCTCGGAGAACCGATCAAAGCAGCAATACTTCCCACAAGCATCTTTCTAACTAACAAGAAGGGTTTTCCTGTTCTGTCCAAAGCCCATCAGAGGATCATCTTCCGTCTGTTCAAGGTATGACGTGAGGTCTGCTCGTTTCATTACAAAGAGTTTCTTCAGCAAACAGCTCGTTTGTGTCCTCAGCTGGAGGCCCAGTTCATCTTCATGGGCGCCAGTCGGCACACAGACAAAGAGTTCAGGTCCTACCTGCAATACCTGGAATACCTCAGTCAGAACCGGCCCGCGCCCAACGCCTACGAGCTCTTTGCCAAAGGCTACGAAGATTACCTGCAATCACCGCTACAGGTAAAAAGCTAACCCTTCTGTAAGCTCAGTGTCAGTCGTTTTTTAATGTCAATGTTTTTGTCCTGATTCTAGCCCCTCATGGACAACTTGGAGTCTCAGACATATGAAGTATTCGAGAAGGATCCTATCAAATACTCTCAGTACCAACAGGTGAGGCTTCAAACTGCAGATGTAATACAATGATGACATTAGTCTCTGCATTGAACCCATCACACCCGAGATACTCCCAGGTGGAGCAGTTTGGGATCAGGTGTCTTGCTCAGAGACGCCACGACATGTGGACATGGCTGGGAGTTGAACCTGCGACTTTCTGGTCCCAAGTCGGCTGCCCTACCTCTACACCGCAGCGGCCCAACCCTTACATCTAGAATGTTGAGCTGCGTTAATCTGGGATTGTTTTTATGTGAGTGGTGATTAAACAGCTGCTCTGCTTCTCTGAAGTGGTAGGACCATAAACCCTGTGAGTCTTTAATGACCTCCTTTAGTGGAGGAAATAATGGACACGTTTTGAAATCAAAATAAGATTATGCTGTTTCTCACTTTTTATACGTCTGTTGGAAGGAGTGTAATCTATAGTATAATCTATAGTATAATCTCTGTACGTATACCTTTTCTCGACTCGCCCAAAACTTGTGATCCGCTCAAGGTAATTTAATGAAACTCCATACACATCTCCATCGTCACTACACAGTCTTACATACACGTGTTACATAATCCCAGCTCCAGTCAAGGTCACAAATCAAGGTCAAAAGTTATACAAGGTCTTTGCTGTATAATAGTTTGTTGACGGGTCGTATGCAGGGCTCTTTGTTTGTGTTGGCATCTTTAAACCTGCCTTTTCAGTTATACCAGTCTGTATTTAAGAAACTTTATGTGAACAGGCTGAAAACAGATTTCATTTTGTGCCACTTTAGGTTTGTAGTTGCTTATTTTATATAGGGCTGGACTATGTGGCCAAAACTTTCATCACAATATATTTCTTAATTTCGGTCGATAACTATATAATTCAATTATAGATACAAACAATACACAAGCCTCCAAAAAACTGTACAAACTGTACAAATAAATTAATGTTCACTTTTACTTGTATTTAGCCTTCAATCAATTTTGAAATCACCGTCAAACATAAAACTCTCATCTTTGTCAATATTAATAGTTTTAACTTTAAACAGCAACATAACCTAACATTTGCTGCATGTTTCTTTTGATACACCTGGGGGTGTTGTTTCAGGGACACGTTGGCTCAAACTTTATAGTGTTTCATCTTCTGACTCAGCAAATTCTATTGAGTGGAACAAGTTAGATGAGTTCCCACGGCTAGTTGGAACGACTCCATCACATTTTGCAGCACACTGACTGAAACCTGCAGTTTATCGGATCTTAGAAAGCCGAACCACTTCCACACAGCTGAATTAGTCTTTCCTCTCTTATCAGTGATGTCATCCGTTTTCTCTTGGCTTGTGAAAGTTTGTTCAGTCACATTCTGACGGTCATGGGAACTCATTTTGAAGCGAAAACTTAATGTACGTGGGAGATTAGCCTAGCCTAGCCTGCTACGGCTAGCACCTTCTGGATTCAAGCTCTGTGTAACATCTACGTCACAACACACTTATGTAGTTGTGTCGCAGCTTTTTCTGTCCAGGTTGAAACTGAAGCGGCCGCTTCAACCGGAACAGAAAAAGAAATGCGTCAGTGAAACGCTCTAATCATATCGAAATATCGAAAATGTGCTTAAAACTCATATCACCGTTATTGAATAAAAGTTTATCGTGACATATATCAAATTATTGTCCAGCCCTATTTTTATATGAATACCTTTGTTTGTTTTAAATATTTTTGTGGATTGATTGTTTTGTTTTTTTATCATTAGCTGCCATTAAAACTTTCAGGCTGCTTACATACATTGAAATCGGTTTGTATTACCTGTTTCCAAATCTTCTGTTTTCAATCGATAATTTCAGGAACTGATACTCTCAGCTACGATGATACCGTTACAAAAAGCTTGGGAAAATAAATGCTATCATGATATGCTAATTTCATGACGTAAGTACGTCAGAGTTGCCCCACCCCGTTAACAGAACCGAGCGCGCCGAACTACCAAACAGAACTGCGCACCCCCCTTTACTAAATAAAGTAATTTCAGTAAAATGAACCCTTGTTGTTTTTTTAGTTTTTATATAATACTGCAAAGCAACATGTTAAGTTACATTTGTCAAATGAATAACTATGATTTCTGTTTGTTTTTTTTAAAATCACAAAATTTATCGTTATCGTCAGAATGCTCTGAAATATCATGATATTATATTTGAGCCACCCCTAATGTAGGCCTGTCGTGATAAATCAATTAATCACATGATAAATGAAAATTATCAACCTCATTTTCATTTATCAGCTTTATCATTTCTTCGTGTCTCTCTCTTTCTGCTGAAGACACTGGATGAGAAAAGACTCAACTCCGGTGCTCTTCACTGACTCCTCCCTTTCTCTTTAAAATCTGTTTTAACCGTCTAAAATATCATTTTTGGATCGTTAAAAGTAGCTAAGCTGAGAAGCTAAGCTATGAGCTAAGCTAACAGGCTGACCACGGGAAAAAACTTCCGTCTTGTCAAAGCTCCAAAATTCACCATTGAAACCCGTGCTTCATGTAAAAAGTTGTTTTTCTCTGCAGCTGAGAAGTTGTTTACTGATTTTTTTAATTAAAAGCTTTGTGTGAAAAATGCTATGCTAAAGAGCTCAAACCACACCGAGCGTCCGCCATTTTGAGAACCGATAAAGAGGAACGAGAGACAGCCCATGTCCCGTCAAGGGGCCTCCCTCATGTTTTTCTTAAGACTGCTTGCTCCCTCACTATCCATCCTTCAGTTCAAACAGTCTTATACTGCCATCAGGTGGTCAAAAAAGTACTACATGCAAAACAAATCAACCAACATTTCTTCTTAAATTTGACAATAATTACTAGTTGTTGTCAAATTTCAAACAATATTATCGTTTACCGCAATAATTTCTGAGACAGTCGCCCAGAAAAATTTGTTCTTGTGACATGCCTACTCGTATATAATAAGTTTGTTCTGTCCTTGTGTGTACAGGCTGTATATAAATGTCTCCTGGACCGAGTGCCAGAGGAGCAGAAAGACACCAACGTTCAGTAAGTTTAAAGTCTACGTTCAGTTAAACTGGTTTGAGTAAAGATTTGTACGGAGTCGATATTTCAGAGAGAAGCATCATTCCTAAATCTAATAGCACTTTTGTCTGTCCTGGTGCAGGGTGTTGATGGTGCTGGGAGCAGGCAGGGGTCCTCTGGTCAATGCGTCCCTGCGTGCTGCCAGGCAGGCAGACAGGAAGCTGAGGGTCTACGCTGTGGAGAAGAATCCCAACGCTGTCATCACGTGAGTACAGGAGGGCTTCAAGTCCAGGAGCAGACTGTATGAAGGAAGGGGACGTTTGTTTCAGCTCTGTTTTGATGCGTGGTTAGATTGGAGAACTGGCGCTTCGAGGAGTGGGGTGACCAGGTGACTGTGGTGTCATGTGACATGCGGGAGTGGACGGCTCCTGAGAAAGCTGATATCATTGTCAGCGAGCTGCTCGGATCGTTCGGAGACAACGAGCTCTCCCCGGAGTGCTTAGATGGAGCGCAGCACTTCCTCAAAGGTATTTCAAGGGTTTAAATTCAGAGTCCACGTGTTTCTGGACAAAACTTCACATTAGTCCCTGCTCCATTACCCTTCATGCTTGCTTTGATCTGAAATCACTTTCTCTTTGTTTCAGATGATGGAGTCAGCATCCCTTGCTCCTACACGTCCTACCTGGCTCCCATTTCCTCTTCCAAGCTTTACAATGAAGTCCGGGGGTGTCGGGAGCGGGACAAGGACCCCGAGTGCCATTTTGAGACTCCTTACGTGGTGCGCCTCCATAACTTCCACCAGCTGGCCGAGCCCAAAGCATGCTTCACCTTCACACACCCATCGAAAGGTAAACATGCCCCTGAGCTTCCAGGAACGTCTTCATGTTGTAGTTTCAGTGTTTTCACCAGGCGTCCTGCTCCTTTCAGACATGAACAATAACCGGTACCAGTGCCTCCGGTTCTCTGTGGACTGCAGCTCAGTGCTCCATGGCTTTGCTGGCTACTTTGAAACCACGCTGTACAAAGATGTCACACTCAGTGAGTCCCTTTTGTTCAAGAGGAAGCAGTCCTGTGTTTATACATACCGTATTTTTTGCTGTATAAGTCACAGTTTTTTGCATAATTTACGTGCCCTGCGACTTATAGACCAAAGCGACATATTTATGAATTTTTTTCCCATATTTATAAACCAATTTTTGGCTGAGATATAACTGTTTTCATTCATTCTGACAGAATTTTTTTTTTAGCAGTACCACTTTCAGCCACTTGATGGCAGCAGAGTAGTAGTAGAAGTATGGCATGCTGTTGTATCAAGTAATAGGTGAAAATGGCTATAATGACAAATTCAAAAAAGTTCAAGACAAAAACAGCTGGACTTTATTTATTATACTTTATTGTTTTTGTCTTGAACATTTTTGAATTTACCATGTCCTGGATGACAGAGAATGTTCACTTACTATTAATGACAGAATCGGCTTGCCATAAACTTCCACCTTCATTCTGTTCGCTGCTTGGAGCAACCGCCAAATCAGCTTCATTTCACTGCACTGCCCCGGCGAAATGAAGCTGATTTGACCCTTAAAGTGCATTTATTAAGTAAAAGTTCAACTGAGACACACCTTTGTCATAATGTTGATCGAGCAAATAATTGTTTTAGGTGCTTTTCTTGTTAAATTTTGAAGACACTCAGTGTTCCTCCTTCCTGATTTCCTGCCTGTCAGCGCACTCTCGGAGCACCGAGGCAGCGAACACTTTTGAAATAAAGCTGATTCGACCATTAAAGTCCTTTTTATTAAGTAAATGTTAAACTGAGACACACCTTTCCTATAAAGTCGAGCAAACAAATGTTTTTAGGTGTTTATCTTGTTAAATTTCAAAGAAATGCAAAGTAACTCGTCCCTCTGCGCGTTCCTACTTCCACATATCGGCTTTTGAAATGCAGCTGATTTGACCATCAAAGTGCATTTATTAAACAAAAGTTAGACTGAGACACACTTTTACTATAATTTTCGAGCAAATAGATAATTGTTTTTAAGTTAATCTTGTTAAAATCCTCCCGTGCACGCTCCCGCAGCTGCCATTTGGCAGCCAATTGATTTTTGGCACAACACCCGCCCACATTTCCTGGTTGTCAGTGGTGACGCGTAACAAACACGACGCATCACCTCTGACGTATAATAGATGCGACATATTTATGGATTTTTCCACTTTATTAGACAAATATGGACTGATGCGACTTATAGGGCGGAGTGACGTGCACGGCGTAATATACAGTAAATGTGTTTGAACCCGATGTTTGTTGCAGGTATAAAACCAGACACACATTCACCTGGAATGTTCTCCTGGTTCCCTATCCTCTTCCCCCTCAAGGTAAGCCCGCTTTCAGTAAAGTCTTTGTTTCAGAACACTGACTCGGGACTAAATGTAATGTTCACTGTTTAACAGCAACCCATCTCCATATCACGGGATGATGACGTCACCGTGCGGTTCTGGCGCTGCAACAATGGGAAGAAGGTTTGGTATGAGTGGGCTGTGACCGAGCCCTCCTGTTCTGCCATCCACAACCCTGCTGGACGCTCCTACACCATCGGCCTGTGAAAACACACCTGACAAGAATCCACCTGTGTTTTTTTAGTGACGGTGGTCAACACCTTGTTTCTTTTTTATACACGGTTAAAAGTTGGACTTGTGATGTGAAAGCACCGAGTCAGCAGAAGTAAGCTGACTTGGATCGTCTCTTGTGCACGCGTCTCTCTGTGAGGTTACCGTGAAGCTCCTTCAGATCAGGTTCAAGTCCTAACCTGCTGGTTTGACCTGCTCCACGTTTCTTTTGTACTGATGTGATGTACACCGTCAGTCCACCCGGACCTTTGCCTTATCACGCATTCCATGTGATCCCTGTCATGTCTGCATAATGTCCGTCAAGAGAAGAAGGTCACCATGTTCACGTCAGTTGTGTTCGTGCATTCTGTTTAAAACATTTTCAATAAAAACTCATGTTCTCAGTTTCTGATCTTTCATTGTGACTTTTAAATATTGGTTCTATTGATCCAGTATTATTTTAAGTAAAACAGTTGGCTGGCTCAGTGGTGTAGCCCCAGTTAAACCAGCTGGGTGTTGCGTGCTATAAATGGTAAATTAGAAACCAACACATCTGAAGGACGCACAAAGCCTGGAGAGACGATGCTGCACTCAGGTTTAGAACAACCAAACCTGGATACAAACAGAAACTTTGTAGTTTGTAATAAAAGTGTTCAAAATAAACACAAGAAATTAGTGCATTGTTTTTTTTAACAGATTTGCACAGTTTACATAGTGAGATTATAAAGAAGTAATGTGTAGATGGCAGAGTACATTTTAATTTTTAATCCAAAAATGAACTTTGAAATAGGAAAGGATGATCAAGAAGAGTAGCTGAGTATTCTGATACTTTGGGACAAATATAATCAAATCGGAAAAAACAAATACACAAAGTATTCATAATCTTAACTTTGATCAAATGTTTGCTACAAAGACGAGTGGACTCCTGTGGCCGTCAACATTTCCTGGTCCTTCACCTCCACGTGACGGCGTTCTTGATCACTCCAGATCATCGTGCACCTCCATCTGCAGCTCGCGGGTCCCATGACTGAAAACTGTCCAAAGTAACCAAAAGTGATTTTCAGAAATATATATCTCGACAAAAGTTTTGTTTTTCTTCCACTAAATCATAAAGTAATACAATCCCTGAACTTAGGCATACAGCTCAGTGAAGCAATCATATCTGTAAACAGACTTTTACTAAAAAGATTTGCAACGTGTGTAATTATATATATATATTTATTTATTTATATATACAGTATATGAATCTTATTACACAAATTCCTATCTATGCATGCACAAATTTGCAAGATTGCAAAACTACAAGTACAAAATATTTATGAACGGAATTTGTGGCCATATATGTGGCATCAGCAGCCAGCCAACAGGTGAGAGACAGAGGGTCCACCAAGGACGGGTCAACATGAAGACATACAAACCTACAGCCATGCTCACACACTGATGGTCAGTTAACATTCATGAGTTGTAGGAATAAAGTGATGTAGATGAATGCACGTGGAGAACAACTCCACATAGAAAGGCCTCGCGCTGTGAGGTCACAGTGTTAACCAGCATGTTCACTGTGCAGTGTACATCGAAATGTTATGTTTAGGTTTGCACAGGTCTCTGTAGACGATGTACTGGTGAGTAGAGCTGTCATTTCTAAACTGGGCCCGAAGCCCAACCTGAATTCAGGCAGGGCCATAATAATGTGCAGGTCAGGCCGGTCTCAGGCTTTGATGCAGTTTTATGAATCATACAGCACAAAGAAAATTAAATAATGCACAATATAAATTTGTGTTCATCTACTTGTAGAGGAGGAGGCAGGTCCGACCGGCCGGTTGAAAGAGGTAAAAAAAAAAAAAAAGTCCAGTTAAGCTCAGATGGATCAGCTGATCACCGGCCGCGCATCTCCACATCTGCTGTGAAGGAGCATCTACAAAAGCTGAAGCGAGCAGCGCGTTCAATTAAAATAACCTTGTTCTATATTTTTCCAAATAACTTTGCTCTAAAAATATTTTTGTTCGTCTGTCTAATAGAGTTGATTGTTTTAGGTTATTTGTTTTGTATGTTAATATTGGTTTGGTGAAACAAGAAATCTTATATCTTCCTTTCTTTGAAATACACTTTTAAAACTCATGTCAAACTGATTTGCTTACAAAAGTAGTAAAAGCGTAATTAAAAAAAAAAGTAATTTTTTGGGGGGTTTTGAGCCTGTAATTACAGTTAATCTGTCGATACGGGTTTGAGTCGGGCTCAGAAAAATTATACGGGTTTGAGTCGGGCCAGATTTTTTGGGCCTGAATGCAACTCTGTTGGTGAGCACCAAATAGAACAGACTGTCTCTACCTCTGCTGATGATCCTATATGTTTAATACTTGATGTTTTTCATGACTTAACATCAAGTGACACCTAAATGTGTGATTTTTGTTTTTGTAAGTCCTTTGAGAGGTCTTTGGATTGTCACATGAACAGGAGGCGGTATGTAAGCAAAAAGAATAGCAGACGTAGTTGTCTTCTTTTTATCAGCTACAAGTAATTCTGCCTTATGCAGATTTGTCAAACTTCAGGGTGTTGTTAAAACTTTGCTTTTGGAGACAACAAACGAGATGTCCTGGAACCATCCTGTGGTAGACCACTCCTACTGAAAGGCATGACAGACAGTGAAATCTAGATTGATGTGACTGGAAGAATCAGCTGTACACAAACTGGGCTGAGAGTACCAGCTGCCAGTTGCTGCTCAGGCTGATAAACTGGACGGGTCTGGTTTCTTTTCATCCAGTGGTTGGCAGCTGCTCTCAGTCTCACAGCACCAATGGGACCTATTTTGGGGCTTGGATCACACACTCTCAAAGTACATGATTTCTGTGTACTGGATGGTAACTATGCATCCCTGCTGAAGTGTGCTGAAGCTCAGAAATACAATATAATCATTTATATGTGCTGAATGTCAGGTTTATCCTTTCCCATTTCATTTAAAAAGCCTGTTTGTTTTCTACCATTGTCGCAAGGGTTTTCAAGAACAATGAGGTTCTGAGGACCTGCAGGAACGACAGAAGGATACATTCGAGGAGGCAGCAGGTTAAAATGAGAGGTAGCAATCAGTGAGCAGCAGCATGATTTTATGCGAAGTGCACTTCAGATGCACCCTAAGTGTTGGTAGAAACCAACATGGAGAAGCTTGGAGACAAAGTTAAATAGACATTGTTTAGACATGTGCAGAGGACAGTTAGTGGACACATACAATGGATGTTAAGTACAGAGCAGCCAGTGAGAACATGCAGAGTTGGTGTGACAGAGGAGGATGCTGGGACAGAGTGAGATGGAGGCAGATGATCTCGTAGCAACCTCTAAAAGAAACAACTGAAAGGTGAAAACAAGTAACAGGTTTTTATCCACTTGTTCCTGTTGAGTCAGAAGCTGATGCCTATCTCAAATGGTCATTGGACAAGAGACAGGGGACACCCTGGACAGGTCGCGAGTCCATCTCTGAATCACAGAAAAGAACAAGACAGACACGCACATTCATACACACACACTTACATCTGAGGACAGTTAAGAGTCAACTAACATGCAAACAGTTGGTCCGAGGAGGAAACTGCAATATCTGAAGCCACCTCTTCAAGTCCATTCATTGGGCAGCTGTGACTGAGTGGTTAGAGCAGTCGTCCTCCAATACAAGAGTTGGGGGTTCAAATCCACCAGCAGTCACATGCCGAAGTGTCCCTGGGCAAGACACCGAACCCCTCATTGCCTCTAATGTGTGTCCCATCGGTGTATGAATGTGATAAAACTCTGATTAGTCTCTTTAGAATGGTTTGTTCAATTATCTTTGTAGAGATCTAGTAGAGTGCTGTATGAATGGGTAAATGAGGCACAGATTGTAGTGTAAAGTACTTTGAGGATCTTGATCAGATAGAAAGGTGCTATATAAGTACAGTCCATTTACCATTCTGTCAGTCTGTCCTTTTCTTTGGATATTCTCCTTTGAGTCTCGTTCAAGACAGACGCTTCTCCTCTCCCTCCCCCTGTTCTCCCTTTCCCCCTGCTTCTGCTCTCTGTGTGTCTCGGAGCTCCTGGTACACATCTCTCGAACAAAAAACACTATTATGGATCTGACGAGCTGACGACTTTCAATAAAATCGACAAAATCTTTTCAACAAAATGACAGGGTCCTGGAGAACCCTCTTGCCCAGCTGAGATTCACACTGTGGGGTACATCAGAGATCAGCTGATGTCTCTCAGTTTTGTCTTAGGAGGACACTGAAGATGGTTATATATTTGGATTTATGATAGCAGGGGTTCTGCTATTTGGCATCAGTGGGGCTCTGTTTTATCAACTTGAAGAAGACATCGGCAACAGTTTCGGCCATGACAAAGCTTCCCAGTCTGTGTTTGGTTCGTGCTATGAGGACTCAAAATCAGCTGATTAACGAGCTAAACCGTAAGATGAAGACAATTTGTGAGAATCACAGGCCACCTAGCTGCGGCTTTAGGACTCGACAACATATGGAATCAGTCATGGGGAGGCTCATAACATGTATCAGTGGAGAGGAATACCCAAAAAATCTGGACATTTTGGACCAAGGAAGTTCCAGCAGGACTCAAGGCTGACAAGAAAACAGTCTGTCTGAAGAAAAATCAACAATTGTGGTTTATCTGAATCTGACTCGGGCAGCACGGTGGCACAACTGGTAGAGCTGCTGCCTCTCAGCGAACAGGTCCCTGGTTCAAACCCCGGTCCAGGTGACTTCTGGGTGGAGTTTGCATGTTCTCTCCGTGCATGCGTGGGTTTTCTCCGGGTACTCCGGTTTCCTCCCACAGACCAAAAACATGCATGTTAGGCTGATTGGTAACTCTAAATTGTCCCTAGGTGTGAGTGAGAGAGTGAATGGTTGTTTGTCTCGTTTGTCTCTATGTGGCCCTGTGATGGACTTGCGACCTGTCCAGGGTGTACCCCGCCCCTCGCACAGTGATTGCTGGACATGGGCACCAGCGACCCCCGTGACCCAAAATGGAATAAACGGGTAAAGATAATGGATGGATGGATGGATGAATCTGACTCCCCCGTTTGGCCTCGGACACGAGCCGACTATCAAATTTCTCCTGGGACATGGGTAAGTAGGGAAAAAGCTTTGCCTATACCCC